TTACAACTGCAGAGTCTTAAGAGTTGAAAAGAACCTACCAATTTAGTCCATCTTACACCCACTCTAGGAATTCTTTCTGTGACACATCTGAGCCATTCTATTTACCTGCTTTCATTGAAAGGAACTTCAAACTTCTTCCTTAGTATCAAATGATAATCCACTTTTTTGTGACTTTCACTTAGCAAGCCTAGTTCTGACCTCTAACGTTCTTTAAACACTTGAAGATAATGATCACATTTATCTTTAGAGCATTTGTTGTTACCTTCTTATTATACAGTTTTATTAAAAATGTCTCAACACTCTTGGAAGCAATAGCTATTTTGGTTTACTTCTCTTTGTTCTGGGAGTGTTTTTCCCTTTGGTAATGGATAAACTATTTGCCAACATGGCCAGAATACATGAGATGCATGCTCTTTTCCACTTAAAGATTCTAAAGCAAGTTTCTGCCTCATCAGTAGGGTAGATTTTTGAAAGGGGGAGGGGATGAGTAGGGAAAAATCATTTAGTATATTATTGTTACATATTACAATGTACTAACATACTTTGAAGGAAAGTAAAAGTGGGTAAGACAACAATATAATGGACTTAAACTTGGTTTGAATCCAGTCTGGCCACTGGCTATCTCCACACTAGGTGTGTGTGTCACTTGGGGTATATACTATTTAATTTCTCTGTACTTCAGTTTCCTCCCACAGAAACTCAAGGAAATAACTGTATCCAAATAAAAGGAGTGTTGTGAGGGATCCATGTATTAATGTACGCTAAAGTATTCAGAATACTGCTTAATACAAAGTAGGTACTCTACATGTTAGTCATTATAATATTTGCTATTGCTACACATCTATTTTAAACTGAATTGTAATGGTAATATATGCAAGAAAAATATAAATATATTTTAATTAAACATGATTCAGATTTTTCCAGTGCTCAATAATAACCTTATTTTTTATGTGGTACTTTTAGCAATCTTGTAATGGTTAAACTATTCAGCCATTCAAAATCATTTTCAGAAAAACAGTCAATGACTTGAAAAATGTCTGCAACATAGTAATTGGAAGGTGAAAAGAGCCACTTGCCAAAAAGCATGAACTATAATGACCTCAACTTTATTTCTTAAAAATGCAAAAATATGTAGGTGAAGGACAGGGATGAGACAAACAACAGATCTCACTGGAAACTCATACAGCAAAATGTCAACAATGGCATCTTTGGTAGTGGTATTACAAGTAACATTAAAAAAAATTTTTTTAATGTTTATTTATTTTGGGGGGAGAAAGAGAGAAAGTGTGTGTGTGTGTGTGTGTGTGTGTGTGTGTGTGTGGTGTGAGCAGGGGAGGGGCAGAGAGAGAGGGAGAGACACAGAATCTGAAGCAGGCTCCAGGCTGAGCTGTCAGCACAGAACCCGATGGGGGCTTGAACTCACAAACTGTGAGAACACGACTTGAGCCAAAGTCAGTCGGTTAACTGCCTGAGCCACCCAGGCGCCCCACAAGTAACTTATTTTTAACTTGTTTGTTTTCTATATGGTCCAATTTTTTTAAAAACCACATATTAAATTTTTTATCACAAAAAAATTCATTGTTTTAAAATGTGTCTGACATAGGCTATTCAAACAGGTGTTTCTCTACTTTCTTTAAAAACCTATAGGTAATGTAAGTTTCCCTACCCTCGGGAAGAAAATGAAAAATTCAAGGTACTAAATAAAGTAATAAATTCATCACAGTATGAAACCAACAAGGAATTATATACATCCTAAAATTATATTTTTTGTTTTGAATGCTATTTCAGCTATCCCACATATTTTACACGGCTATCAAACTTACATTAAATTGAATTTATAAACATTGAGAGATCACATAATGTTATTTCTACTTTACAAAGAAGACAAAAATGAAAGATTTCGTGTTACAAAATAGCAGAAGGTGTCTGTCATAAGAGAGCAATGAAAAGTTTATAGTATTTTTTTCTCGAAATTCCTATGCTCTAAAAATTACACAGGAAAATAAGCTAGTATTTTATGTTTAGTGAGTACTTACATTTAGGAACACTTGCTATAGCTTCTTACCCTTTTTCTTTTCTCATGGTAAAATTCTAGAGTCAATTATATAAGAAATGTTCTCAGCACTATTCACTGTTTTTAATGACTGACACAGACTTCAGAGTACTTACTTCAAGATATTTGAAATTATATCCACAACCACCTGACCTCAGTTGGGAGATAAACAAAAGCAAGGCTTAGAAGTATTCTTTACATATCCAACACTCTCACTGAAGCTTTCTAGAATTCTGAATAGAGTGCCATTATGAATTTTCACATATTAGGTTAAAGAATATCTTGTTTTGGCTATAATAAAATGAATCTCATTTTTTTGATTTGGACAAGCCAAAAGTTATACCAAATAAGAGATTATTTTTTAACCTCTAATGTCTATATACATTCAACTATGCTAATTTAGTCTGAAATGAAATTACTGCAATTAAGAGAGACAGTTAAAAAAAATCTAAAAGAAAAAAATTTATTTCCAAAGAATCTGGGGAAAGACCATAATAACGTAAGAAGAACTACTCATTAATACAGCAATTTTTCTATGTAGTAACCGTAACCATCCAGAACATTCGGAAGATTACATAGCCAAAAAAACTTGTAATCTCCACCAAAATTTATTAAAATTACACACATTAAATCAAATTTCACATATTTAGGATATGTGACCTATGATTCGGTACATATAAAACCTATCTACAATTCATAAAACTCAGTCATAATCATCCTCCACCTTCTCTACCAAATCCATCCCTCGTCTTCACCCCCACAACCAACAACTCCAAATATTTTTAGCACTAAGAAATAATAGGAAACTTGAGAACAGCTTTTTGATAAGTCAACAAAATATTCCAAACCAACTGCCTTTTACCTGTTTTTGAACACCTAACATAAAGAATGAGATGTTAGCAAAACAAAAACTCTGGAACAAAAAGGTGAATGGATTTAAACAAAGCCTTATGAATGTATCAGTAGAGGAAGATGGTTTATGAAAGGATGGGTCTGAATGGGTCTGAAAAAAATTTCTCTGAGACAATACTATCTACATGCTAGCAAAAGGGACTACTTTAGTTACTTATAATTGCCCTTTATTCATTCCAGATCTATAACTTCTTTTAAAGCCAACAGAAATGTTTAGAAATACATGAATTAAAAAAAAATTGATTACAAGGCCCCTAGAAAAATAAAAGTAAACAGTAAATAAATTTTGGGCTTCATAACGACAAGTATACACTAGACAACATGACTAGTCCAACTAGTCAGAAATCTGCATATTAAGTGGACAGATGACCCTAGGTTCAAGCAGTAGAGGTTTTTCCCAGGGTCCTTCTAAAGAGGATGCTTGGTCCTCTTCCAGTAGAGGGAGCAAAATCATAATATTCTACTCAGTCTACAAAAGAGAAGGGAGGGTTTATGAGTGCCTTTTAAATATGTTAAAATCTATCTAAACATTTCAAAAAAATGTACTGAAAATACCACTTGAAACAAATAAAATCAAGCTAAGGGAAAAAAATAAAGATTTTTATCTTCTTTAAACACTTGAAAGCTCTGAAAGGAATGAATGGTCCCTACATGTTTAATTTTAAGTACTGTGATATATTACATTGTCCACCAAATCTCACAAGTAACCAAGGAACTGAAGCATTTTAGAAATCCTGAATTTAACGTGATTTCAGACAAATGATAAAATATTACATTAAATACCTTTTTATTATAAAAGCAACATGGTAGCATGACAAAAACTATAGAAAACAAAGTATAATTGTACTACCCTGACTGAAAGAATCTATTTCAATATTTTTTCATATGCATATTTTCATACTGCTATGAGAAAAAGCATAATTATAAAAATGTTTAAGTGCTTACTACATACTAAGCATAGTTCTAAGTACTTTTACATATTATAACTTTTTAAATCCTTACCAAAGCTCTACTATGTAGGTCCTGTTATTATTCCACATTTGAAAGGTAAAGCAAATGAGGCACATAGAAATTCTATAATTAGCTAAAAGTCACACAGCTAGTATGTAACAGTAGCTAAGATTCTAACCCAGGTAGTTTGGTACCTGAGCCTGTACTCTTAACCACTTTACTGTGATCTTAATTTTGAATTATACTTTTCCCACATCATTAACATGGTATTCGGTATTAGTCTTCAAAGTCTTTTTAATGTTTGTGATAGTCCACCTAATACACTATGATAATAAACTATGATGCTTCCAACTGTCCTGTATAGATAGCAGAAGATAAATATCTTTGGATATATTACTTTTGCCACGTTTGGGGTATTGTAATAAAGTATTTTTATATTCAAATATACAACCTAGTTGTTTTCCAAAATACCTGTATCAGTTGACAAAGGTCTGTAAGTTCCAATTTCACCATAAATTCACCAGCATTAAGCATTAACATTTTTTTCTAATACATATAAATGAAACCACACTGCAAACTGAATTATTAAAGTTGTATATTATTCTGAATGTTTTATTAGCTCAACTTACCTTTTTATGAAATTTCAGCTCCTATGCTTTATCCAGTTATCAACTGAGGTCTTAAAAAGTTTGCTTATAAATTTATATGAGCTCTTTATAAGAGTATTAACATGATAAACATTGCGATAAAACGTTCCCAGTCTACTGTTTTCCTTCTAATTATGGTTAAGTTTTCCTTTTTGATAATAAATTGTTTCATTAAAGGCAATTATAATTGAAAGTTACAAAAAGGTCTTAAAACCTGACTATTTTCTAAATATAGAAGTTAACATATTGCTCTGAGCACATCAACGAATAATTTCCAAATATAAGACCGTTAAAGCAACAAAACCTATGTCAAAATATGCATATTCACCTAATAGAATGACTGAGTTTGAGCAACCTTGGATAGGTCTCACATAAAATTAACTCAATGAGTAAAAGTCCATCCTACCCCAAATCATCAAAATAAAAGAGCTACAAACCTGTCGCTGTAAATATAGGCGATTTCTGTCATGTAAATGCTGATGATTCGAAAGTGATGAATGCCAACTGCGAGCTGGACTGTGCAACTGAGTTTGAGCCATCTCTGAAGGCCGAGTTACCAGATGTGAAGTAAACTGCCGTTCAAGGTCATGATCTAAAACATGACTTGAATGATCCTGTCCAAATGTTGCCTCATCAAACTGGGGAAGGAGACCCTCCTGCAGGAGGTCTTCTGGGTCAAGTCCCGTGAATGGCTCAGTTTGAGACTCTACTTGATGAAGTAAATTCTCTTCTAAAGATGAAAAGCCATTAGTTTCTACGTGATCATTGAAATGGCCCATTTGAGTTCCTGAGTCAACAGGATCTGGGAAGTTCATGTGCACAGGAGATAATTTTGAATTGCTATAATTACCCTGAGGATGTGATGAATGCAACATTTGGAAATTACTTGAATTCAACGATGTATTGGGATTTAGCATATGCTGAGTGGAGTCTTGCTTGATTCCCCTATGAGGTGAAAAGGAATTACTTCCAGTAAAATCTGATAAAGCCTGATTTGTATGATTAGGTGCAAGAACAGCAGAGGACTGCAGAAGACTGTTGGGTGAGACGTGATTACTGGAAAAGGAATAATGTGAAGAAAACTGCTGTGAATTACTGACAGAACAAGAAGTCATATTTGGAGAAGGTCCATTAAAATTCCCTTCTTGGTGATTGCTACACTTGAGGAAGTGTACTGAAGGATTTGATGTCTGAGAAAATTGCTGCATTGAAAGAGACTGTTGCGACGTAGATGCATTCGTAATTTGTGATGGGTGGCTAACACTGACTCTGTGTGGACCAGAAACATTAACATCCATAAAATTTTTAGACTGGCTAAGAGAATTTTGCCCTGGGTTAAGACTGTTTCTGTTTTGCTGTGAGCGTAGTGAAGTGCACTGTGTTTGTTGTTCACTGGCCTGAAATAAGGCAAAGTCATGGTGTACCACAAAGCTTTTATTTGGATGCATAGGGTGAGAATGTCCTTGTTGGTGGAAAGGAGACCCATTTTGATTTGAAATGCTGGTAGCTGTCTGATGGCCCCACATTGGACTGCCATCTGCTACATCTGGAAACAAACCATTGGGTTGGTTTGGGGGATGGATTGGAGAACAATTAAACTGAGAGTGTGGAGATAACACGTGTTCAGCTGGGCTACCAAAAGGCTGACTGACCTGGTGAAATTTCATTGAATCAAACTGATTTAACTGCTCATAATCAGTTATCTTCTGATGTGTTGGAGTACCTTGAACATGGTTGAGTGAGTCTATGTGCAAAGGTTCAAATTCTGCACCCAGGTTCAATTCATCGACTAGTGAAACAGGTCCTGGCTGTACAAATGCATCATCTGACAAACCTTCTAAGGTCTCACCAAAAAGATTGGCATCATCAAAAAAGTCCATCATTGGATCTGTCATCTTGAAAAATCCAGTGACGATCTGAGCTGTTGACTCCAAATGAAGTATATTCAACTTCTCTGTAGTAGATACTATTGGATCATTTCCAAAGGTCATCAACTAATCCGAAACAGGTCAATGTTCATTATTGCTCTAGATAATGACATGTCATGAAGTGTCAGAATCCTAGGAAAATAAGAAAAAGCAATCAAAGTTTAATGATGAGTATTCATTAAAGTTCTACAAAGTTTATATATGATTTTAAAAACTTACAATCTCAGTGTACAGTATTTTTTATAGAATAATTCATTACAAAAAGCTCATTAATATTCCTTACAAGGAAAAAAATGCTGGTGCATGGGACATGACTATATGTATTTAAAAGTAATAGTGCATATTACTTTCATTTTGAAGTTCATATATTTTGATAGAATGTAAACTTGAGAATGATATGTCAGACTTTCACTTAGACCATGAAATGGCCATCACTCCCTAGCAGCTTTGGCATGCATAAAAAATGTATGTATTACACTTGAAAGTAATGTTAAGATAGCTGACATCAGACCTTCTCAGATTGGCCCAAATGAGATGAGTTAGCTATCTGGTCAGTTGACAGACCATGCAGACAGGTGATAGGTTGGGGATGTTCCCACATATTGCTACCATGGTCCCCTTGCCCACCCCCATGGAAGATGAGCCTTCCTAAGAACCAACTGATTTAGATATCCATGTAGCAAAAGCAAGCTCCTTCCTGTTAATAGTCATATTCATTACTCTGTCCCTAAGTCTCCCCCCTTGTCCCAGTAGATCATTTGGAATACAAATATTGCTTACTTACTAAACTGTGCAAATAAATGTGTGGTGACAATCAAACTAAGGCAAAAATAAACAGTAGCAGCTTGAGCTAAGCAATAAATTAGTCTTATGATAGTCTTAAGAGAAAAAATGATTACATTTATGTAAATATATGTATATATAGACACACACATACACGCTACTTCTGTGTGGAAAGGATCTAATGGGTTACTCATTAACATGAAATGGCTAGCTAATTTTCTTCTAGGCCTGTATTATTCCAAACATTTTTTCATAAAGGCAATTTATGGCTCTGCCCTACTGTCTTGCACAGAGAACCACAAATGGAGGTTCCTGCTCCTCTACATATTAGTTTATTTAAAAATTAGTAAAGGCCAGGGGCGCCTGGGCGGCTCAGTTGGTTAAGTGTCCAACTCTTGCTCTCAGCTCAGATCATGATCGCATGGCTTCATGGGTTCAAGCCCCACTGGCAGTGCGGAGGCCGCTTGGGATCTCTCTCTCACCTCTCTCTCTCTCTGCCCCTCCCTTACTTGCGCTATCTCTGTCTCTCTCAAAAAAAGAAAGAAACTTAAAAAAAAAATTAGCAAAGGCCTAAGAAACTTTTCCAGAACTTCTATTTTGGGAGGTCCACATTAGGAAATACAAATTTCCTAAACAAAATGTTCACTATTTTAATGTAGAAATACTTTTGAAAAATTCTGAAAAGTAAAACCTACCGAAGTCTATATTAATTATAATTAGAAATTGACTCATTGTTAAGCACAATGGTATCCAAGTGCTTTAACAAATATATGATTTTAGAAGTGAAATACAGAAAAAAATTATTTTTCTAGATTTTATAATTGTGAGATGGAACAGATGAAGGGTTATGTGGTCTGCAATGAACAAAGCCATTAGAAAAATATAAGGTAGGTTAAATCACTTCTCTGGAGCATATCTTATTTTCAGCTTCAGACTCCAGACTAGGGAACTTTTATGTATACCTAAGTCATTAATCAGGAAATCCGTGTCTTATGCTTTTATATGGATGTATGATTATCAAGAGGAACATAAAATGAGATACAATGAAAGTTACCAAATCCAATACATCATCAAATATGAGATACATCATTACCTGATATAACATGAAGAAAAAAAAATGCTGTCAATTAAACTATGGCACTATACCACTTCACATTTTTATTTTATAATGAACGAAATGACCTTTTTAAAGGTTTTTAGACTTAGTCTTATTCCAAAGGATCTGACAATTTCTTCTGCCTTGAGGTACTCTGCTTGGTCCATAAAGTACTTGATTGTTGCTCTGTAAGTAAATGTGGAATTGCTGTCATTTCTTCAACAAATATTTGCTTCACTAATTAAATTTATGCTCTGCTACTCTGTTTCTGTGCCTCTCTACGTAATCAATGCCTTTGTGGTTAAATACTGAAAAACAGAGTATATTTGTAAAGATATTTTAAATAACAAACACATGTGGTACTATTATATGTAGCCCAACTGAGGCGATGGCAAGATAAAGAACCATGACTAACTTTGTGTACACACAGACAACGACTCCATGACAGCCACCTGGGAAATACTGACTGAGACACATCCCAATTTCAGAGATATTAAAGGGGGAAAAAAATATGCATCTTAGGATTAACTTCTTAAATAATGAGAATGTATTACTTCAAGAGTTCAGAACCCAGAACTATAAAAATCTACCACCCAACTGAATGTTGACAGAGATGACATTAGTTCATATAGTTCTATTTACTGTGATAACAGTGAACTTAAATATAAATAAATATAAAACATTATTAATTTATACAGATTTACTATATGCTTATACATTTGTTCTTAAAAAAACAGTTAAAGAATTTTTAGGAAACTGCTCTGGAAATAAATATATATCAGAGCAGTAACAAAACAGGCCATAGAGGAAAGAACTGGTACAGTCTTTGCAATTTTGTACATGATGGTAAATTATGCTAAAGCAGAGTGTTTTCTACATTTATATAACCTGAAGCTTAACAAAAATATGGGAGAAGTAGACATTTTAATTAAGAAACCAAGTCTGGGGGCACCTGGGTGGCTCAGTCAGTTAAGCATCTGACTTCGGCTCAGGTCATGATCTCATGGTTCATGGGTTCGAGCCCCACATCAGGCTCTACGGTGACAGCTCAGAGCCTGGAGCCTGCTTTGGATTCTGTTTCTCCCTCTCTCTCTACCCCTCCCCTGCTCACGCTCTGTCTCTCTCTGTCTCTCTCTCTCTCTCTCTCTCTCTCTCTCTCAAAAATAAATAACCCAGGGGCGCCTGGGTGGCTCAGTCGGTTGAGCGTCCAACTTCAGCTCAGGTCATGATCTCGCGGTCTGTGAGATCGAGCCCCGCGTCGGGCTCTGTGCTGACAGCTCAGAGCCTGGATCCTGCTTCAGATTCTGTGTCTCCCTCTCTCTCTGCCCCTCCCCCGCTCATGCTCTGTCTCTCTCTCTCTGTCAAAAATAAACATTAAAAAAAAATTAAAAAAAAAATAAAACATTAAAAACAAAAAGAACAAGTTTGCCATTTTCTCATCCAATAAACATTTATGGATAAACAACAACCTACACAAACTCGATGATAAGTAGTAATTGATACCTGAGGGAATTTAGACATGTAAATAGAACATTATCAGCACGTTACTTGTGCTTTGCTAAAAGTAAGTACATAAGAGGAACATCTAATAATGTAAACACCAATACTATACTAAGAAGATACAGATTCCATATGTGATAAGATATATGTAAGTAGTCGACCTTAGTTATAAAAACTGAGACTGAAGGTGAACTATGAAAAAATGCACAAAAAATCTAATAAAGCCATGTTTTCTGATTTGAACAGTTTATTCTACAATTGACACAAGGCTCATTTAAGTTCTTAAGATCTAGTGTTGTAATTTATTCTGTAAATGTACCATTTTCTAACTTTATGAAAATATCACATCAAGCTTGTTTTAACTTGTTGTTTAATTAGGCAAATATTTATGGACTGTCTATTATATCCAAAGCAACTCTGTAGAAACTGCAAAAGTTTCTGCCCTCAGGAAGTTCAGAATTTAAATGGAGGAAAAAGGGGGGAATGGCACGAGAAAAACACAGTACATATTGAATAAAATATGGTAACTGTGTCCACAGGTTCATCGAGAAGATAATTTATAAAAATAACATTTTTGGCAAGTTATTCAGGAAAAACTTCTTGGAACAGTTAGCATTTGAAGAAGTCTTATTAGAAAAGGACTGGAAGGGAAGGTCAAAGAATTCAGGAATAAAGAAATAGCATGAAGGAAGTAAGTACAGTATGACCATTGCAAAGGGTATATAACAAAGGAAGAAAAGTAGAAAATAAAGGCAGAAACATAAGTTGGGAGTACTGCTGTAGGGGGCCTTATCGATTAAGTACATTAAAAGAATACATTTGGGTGCTCGCTTCGGCAGCACATATACTAAAAGAATACATTTGGGGGACAGAATTCTTCTAAGGTTGAGACAAGTATTTAGAATCAAAATGAAATTACTTCTCTATCTTTATTTCTATATTTACTGGATGCCAATGACCTGAGGATCAAACAAAATGGATTCAAACATCAAAAGGACAGAATCCCTGCCTTCACAAAGTTCATAATCCAGAGGGGAAGAAAACACATAAACACATAGTGATATATGCCTTAGCACAGATGTATACACAGCACTATGTTATGGTGGCACAGATTAGATCGCAGTTAATTATTTCTGGAGAAGATCGGCAAAGGCATAGAGATGAGCTAACACTTGAACTGGGCCTTAAGAGTAAAAACAAAATCATTGAATATGAGTTTGTATATAGGATTTATGTATATAACATATACATAATAAATGTATATGTTATACATAAATGTATAATATGTATATAAACATACTTCAATTGTAAATTGACTTCCTCAATATCTAACAGTTGCTTTCTTTCCAAGACATCTCTGTATTCTCCAAATAAATCTCTCAATATTTTTCTACTAAATGAATTAGTCTTCCCAGTAAATTCTACACATTAAGAGTCTCATCCCATTTAATACGAAGAGCACTGATCCCTACCAAATTATTCGTTTTCTATTAGTCATCTCTTCAGCATTTCTATACATTAAATTTGTGCTACATTAATTTTTACTTTGTTTATGAGCTACTCATAGCTATTTCAAATTTATATTTGG